AAGCTTTCAGCTTTTGCTTTCATCTAGAATATCACAAAAATAGTGGAAGCCATCAAAGGCCATTATTCTTGCTAAGAATCTCCAACCCCCTCTAACTGGGGACTTCCAGATAAAGAAACCAATGAATTGGAACTTGCAAATATAACCACCAACCTAATTAGTGGTAAGACAATGGAATGGGATAGCTTCTACTCATACAGACAAGGTCTTTAATGACATTAAAGGTTTAATTTTGTCATAAATTTTAATATAATATTTTAAATACAAGTGAGTTAATCACTCTTAAAAGTAAATTTACTTAGGTAAGTAAGAAATCCCCAACTTCATTAGTATTCTCTGACACTCATAAATTCCCCTTTGTCAAAGCTGAAGGTTTATACGATTGGCGCTGACTCTGAGGATAAAAATCAGTTAAACTGATGCATATTCATCATGTAGCTGCATTAAGCAGATTGATGGTGCTTGTCTACCTTCTATTACTAAGGTGAGTGAGAACTTAAGCAAATCTGAGTCTTACTTGATGCCAAATCACTAGTAAGCCTTCTTCCAGCTCTGACTAAATGCAGTGCTATAATTCTACATATTTTGAAAAACACCAGGCATTGAAGAACATGCTATAGTTTAATATGTAAACAAGTCATCGAGGGAAAGGGGCATTAAGACAATATCAGCCAGAACCACAGTAGGAGTTAGCTTCAGGCAGCCAGAGTTCCTAGGACGAGCAGCTGCTAGGAAGAAGACTGAGGTAGGTATAATAAACCAAATGTCAAAAGAGCACAAATAAATGGGGAGAGCTGAGTGTGAAAAAAAATGGAGAGCTGGTCTTCATCTCCAGCTGATTGATGCCTTATAGGGAAAGTAGGTCAAGGGTTATTCTATCTTCAATTTTTTTCTAAACAAAACCAAAAATCTGCAAAAACTCTTAATTTTTAAAAATTAACTCAAAATATTTTAAGACATATTTGTGAGCCAAATATGTCTCTACAGTAGATACCCTTATTAGGATAATGCATATGAGAACTGTGACGTACTGCCAAGGAGTATAATATAGTATATTCATTACTTTTGCGCTGCTGTGTCCAAAATACCTGACATAAACAACTTAAGGGAGGAAAGATTTATTTCAGCTTATGGTTTCAGAGGATTTGGTCTATCATGGTGGGGAGGACATGGCAGTGCAAAGCAGTTCACACCATGGCATTCAGGAAGCACAGAAAGGTCTTTTAGGAAGGTGCCAGGATAAGACATAGCCCCAAAGGACAGACCCTCAGTGACCTACTTCTTCCAACGAGGCGCCACCTCCTACATTTCACCTCTTCCCAATAATGCTATCATATTATGAATTCATCAAAAGATTAATCTACTCATTAGGTCAGAGCCCTCGTGATCTAATTGTCTTTGGGCATCCCTAGAGGTGTGTTTTGCTAATTCCCTAGGTATTTCACAGTCCAATCTAGTTGACAATTAAGACTAATCATCACATATAGGGATAGGGGTGGGGAGTGGGAAGAGGGGTGCAATGAAGGAAGATGGAAGGTGCTAAAATGATACGAGGTTGGTTCTGTTGAGGAAATTCAGGAAAGCAAGCAAACTTGAAGGGACAAGAGGCCAGGACAATGGTTTTAAACCTTTTAAGAGTTATTTGCTCCATAGGACAAATGCTTTAGGGATTTTCCCTGGAAAAATAAGCATAAATGTAGTTGTCAGAATAATAACTCCCCGAAAGATGGCTTTGTCTTCATCCATTGCCCAGTTCTGCCCCAATCCTGTCACCTTACACTACAAAAAGAAATAGCAGATGTAATTAACATAAAGGCCTTAAGATAAAGATGTTACCCTGGATTACCCTAGTGAGTCCAATCTAGTCAGATGAATTCCTAAAATCTGAAAATCATTCCTGGTCATTGTCAGAAGGCAATGTGACTATGGAAGAATGCTCAGAGAGATGCTATGCTGCTGGATTTGAAGACAGAGAAAGGGGCCATAGGCCACGGATCCTGGGCAACCTCTGGTAACTAGAAAAGGAAAGGAAAGGAACAATTCCTTCCAAATCCTTCAAAATTGAATACAGTCCTGCCAATACCTTTATGCCAAAGCCCGTGAGACCTGGGCTGCATTTCTAACCTACAGAACTATGAGATTATAAATTCGTGTTGTTTAAGCCACAAGTTTGTGATCATTTGTTACATTAGAAAGTCAGTATAGTATACACTCAAACTCTGACAAAAACATTCCTATATCTCCCTGTAGTTCATTTATGGCCTCTCCGTGTAAAGCTGTTTGTGCTAGAAAGAACCTAAGATACAAACTCTAAGAGCTGTAGGTATGACATTATCTGGCATGTATGGAAACCCCATGACCTCAATCTGCTCCAAAATTCCGCTTCTACATTCGCTAAAGACAACTACTCCAAACCTTACACAAATGATGAGTGATTTCTTCAGTGGCTTCTTGCTAAAGAAAATCTTTCTTCTTCTTGTGATCAACAAGTAAGAGAAGACTGAACTTTATACCCTCTGATATTTATCTTGGCTTCTTCCCTCATTATGAGCCAGATAGAAATCTGGCATGTCCTATTACAGTATCATATCTCTATCTAGATTCTAGTTGGCATGATATGCCTGAACCTGGCCATATGGTGGCTTAAAACAGAAGAAGAATGTTACCAGGAATGTATGAGCTACCTGACTCAAAGTTATTTTAGCTTTATATTTCATTATACCAGTTCATCAAATTTCACAATCCCTGTAACAATTTATATATATATATATATATATATATATATATATATATATATATATATATATTTTTTTTAAGGTTTCATTAGGATATCCCTAGATGATACCACCATGGTTGTGATAAATGACGATACTGTAAAGGTTTCCAACCTAATCTAAATATTAAATCTAACAACCCTAGACATAACTGGCCCAACGTCACTCCTAATCTGTAAATTAGCACCAGATCCTGCAATTAATAACATTAGTGCACAGAATATTCTGGAATGCTGCTAATTAAGAAAGCTAGACCCTATGAAAATGCTATAGTGGGACATGGAAGCTAAAAGCAGAAAAGGATTATGAGGTATTGGGTATTCTATGGAGGTTTGCAAGGGGGTAGAGGAAGACAGGCTAGATTTACTTGTATATGGGAATGCTACCAATCCACTGTGGACTAGAATATATTCCTGATATAGTGAGGAAAACTTGCCAGTGACTCAGTGTCTGGTTTCTTTTCCTGGCATGCAGTGAAAGTCCATAGACCTCCTAAAATTTTACACGAATACGTATGTGTACGTCTTTTTTTAACCATAAATCTCTGAGAACATGAATAAAGTATAACTACCCCATCCCTTACAATGTAAGAATTGCTGCTAGATATGTTCCCTCATAGAACAATTCTAATTCAATACTGTCACCTTGAAACTAGTCAAATGTGAATGATATCCACCACAGAATACTATTAAATTTCTGACTTACCCTATGACAACAGTGAAATTTGCAGTTACTATTCATATTACAGATAGGATATAAAATGGTTTTAAGTATACCAAACCTGAGAAAATTAATTGCTAACACCATTTTTTCCCTGTCAGCCTCTGCTCAAATGTCTACCCCCAAAGGACTATGATACATTCCATACACAAGCATGAGTGATTTCATTTGAGATTTTGTTTTGTTTTGCTTTTACACTATTTTGAAATATGCATGGGAAATACTTGACTTTATTCTTGCTGAGAGAGGGAGTCATCAGGTTGGTGGGGGTAGAAAAGGTCACTGCTTAAACAGATTCTAGGCCGTTGAAAACAGTTCTACTACAAGTCTCAAGTACGTTGGAGAATGTCCTTACCAGAGAGGAAATGACAAGGTTGAGTCCAGTGGGTATTATCTGAGATCAGATAAGAATAAACAAAAAAGAGATACCAACTTCTAAGAAGAGTTCAAAAGGTGCCCATGAATTTACTTGGATAAAGGATCCTCTTACTTTGGTCACCCCTCCAGCCCTTTGGAATTTTATGATTCTAAATTTAATGTGTTGGATATTTTTAAGAACAATTACATAGCACAACCAATTTTCTCTGTGGTTGTTGATTCATTGTGCTACCTTAGGGGAAAAAAACTCTAACGGTCATGCTTGGAGACACAGAACTCCCTTTCCACTGAGTGAGGGCTATGATTATACCATACACAAGATCCTACAAAGACAGCTGACAAGTAGCAGTTGAATTCTTTCTTCTGTTTATTTCCAGAAGAGACTTTCCATAGACAGCTGCAATTCCAGGCTCCCATCAGAATGCCATGCCAACCTTTCTGCTGACAGCTTTCCACCCACACTTTCACCCTGGATCCAGGGCTGTCTCTAACAGGTGGGGTAGGCTAGAGAAGGCCAGTCCTTTCAGAGGCTACTTCGGGGAAAAGGATGTTGACCAAGGACAACACTTGGGTCAGCAGGGAAACTATATCTACCATGCCACACTCAGACATTTGTAGGCTCAAATTCTGACTCAGTCTTTTTTACTGGCACACTATCAGGCAGTGCCTTAATATCTTTCAGCCTCAGGCTCCTCCAGAAAATGAGACTAGAGTGACCAGCATTCTGAGCAAGTGCAGAAGATTAAGTGAGATCAGAGGTGAAAAGCAATCAGTAGGATGAATGCACAGTCATCACTACTTTGTCATGTCACAGAGGAAAACCTAATCTCCTCTGCCATGGCATAAAGGTACAAAATGAGTGAAACCAGAACTTCTCTCCAAAGGCAATGCCCATCTCCATTCCTTTCTGAACCTTAAGGCTGATTATCTTCAAATGAAAGACAAAGAAAAGTAGGTCATTTACATTTCTCTTAAATGAGATTCATGTAAGTACTCTCTCTGACTATAAGGAATGCCAATGAAAGTCAGAAAGCCTTGATTCAAATGGCAGTGGCAAGCACACAGTTTAGCATTTCTGAGAAACAAACCCCAGGCACAGTGCACAGCTGCTGACAACAAAGCACCTACCGTGGTTGAAGTCTCACTGTTTCTTGGCACCTGAAGGTGTTGTTTTGTGGACTCTCACAAGTTGGCGTCCCCACTCTACCCTGGTACTCTGACTGGCTGGGCACCACATGGTCTGTCTCCTACAAGAAGAAAATGTGGATAAGCTATCAGCAGTGATCAGCTCCACAGCATTCTACTCCTTGGGTGGTGGGGGCGGGGGTGGGGAGAGGCAGGTCTCAGTGCAGGGGAGCTGCACCATATAACACACTCTACTGATTATAGTATAGGAAGGGAGCCAATTCAGTGGCCCAAAATATACAAAGCATCTTTTTAACAGTCAGTTGTTGCAAAAGTATAGGATGAAGAGAAAAAAAAATCCTATGTCCAAAGATATGAGCAAGCCATACAATGAGAATTATTTTTCTTTTATTTTACAGTTTTTACATTTATTTACATGTGTATACATTGTTTGGGCCAACTCCCCCCTCCCCTTCTCTTCCCCCAATCTACCCCCCATGCTTCCAGTCAGAACCTGTTCTGACCTCTTGCTCTCTGATTATGTTGAAGAGAAAACATAACAGATAATAAGAAAGACAACGTTTTTGCTACTGTGAGATAAAGATACCTACACAAAGAGATTCCTAGCATTGCTTTCATGCAGTTGTGTATTGCAATCCACATTGGTTTATCTCTGCCAGATCTCTTAGCTACTTCCTGGCCCCCCTCCCATAGTAGCCTCTGCTAGTTTAAAATTACTTTATTCACTCCCCTACAGTGAGCACATCAACCACTTTCAAGTTTTAGGTTTGCTTCCCTTTTTCTATTCCTCCCATAAGCGTTCTCCCCTTAGTGTGTGGCCCATGTCCAATCATATTACCACATTTGTTTTAAGTCTGTAGTCCACATTCAAGGGAGAACATGTGATTTTTGGCCTTCTGAGCCTGGCTAACTTTGTTTAAGATGATTTTTTTCAGTTTAATCCATTTACTTGCAAATGACAAAATTTCATTCTTCTTTGTGGCTGAGTAAAATTCCACTGTGTATAAATACCACATTTTCTTAACCCATTTGTTGGTACTGGGGCATTTTAGCTGTTTCCATAGGTTGGCTATTATGAACAGTGCTGTAATAAACATGGGTGTACAGGTGCCTTTGTCATAACCTGAGTCGCACTCCTTCAGATATACCCCTAGGAGTGGTATTGCTGGATCATATGGCAGATCTGTGTTTAGTTTTTTAAGAAGCCTCCATATTGTTTTCCAAAGTGATTGTACTAGCTTACATTCCCATCAGCAGTGTATGAGGTTTCCTTTTTCCCACATCCTTGCCAACATTTGTTGTTGGTGGTGTTCTTCATGATAGCTATTCTAACAGGAGTGAGGTGGAATCTTAGTGCAGTTTTGATTTGCATTTCCTTTATGTCCAGGGATGGTGAGAATTTTTTCATGTGTTTTTTGGCCATTTGGACTTCTTGCTTGCAAAAATTCTGTTGAGTTCAGTTGCCCACTTTTTATTGGTTAATTTTTGGGGAGTTTACTTTTTTGAGTTCCCTGTATATTCTGGTTATTAATCTTTTGTCAGATGTATAGATAGCAAATATTTTCTACCACTCTGTGGGTGGTCTCTGCAATCTAAAGACTATTTCTTTTGTGTACAGAATTTTTTAATTCCATGTAGTCCTATGTGTCTATCCTTTCTCTTAGTTGCTGGGCTGCTGGAGTTCTACTGAGGAAGTCCTTGCCTATATCTGTTGCTTCCAGAGTATTGCTGCTCTTTCAGGTACTAACTGCAAGGTTTCAGGTCTGATATTAAGGTCCTAAATCCACTCTGAGTTGATACTAGCACAGGGTGACAGGCATGGATCTAATTTGTTTTCTGCAGGCAGATAACCACTTTTCCCAAGTAATATTTGTTGAAGAGGTTGTCTTTTCTCCATCATATGTTTGTGGCACCTTTGCCAAAAATAAGTTTGGCATAGCTGTGTGGAATCATATCTGGGACTTCTATTGTGTTCCACTGGTCTTCATTTCTGTTTTTGTGTCAGTACCATGCTGTTTTTATTGCTATGGCTCTGTAGTAGAGTTTTAAGTTAGGTATTGTGATACTTCCAGCATTGCTCTTTTTGCTTAGTATTGCCTTGGCTATTTGTGGTCTTTTGTATTTCCAAAGGAACTTTAGGGTAGATTTTTCAATCTCTGTGATGAATGTCATTGGGATTTTGATGGGTATTACATTGAACATGTAGATTGCTTTTGGTAGTATAACCACTTTTACTGCATTTATTCTGCCAATCCATGAGCATGGGAGATCTTTCCGTCTTCTGTAGTTTTCCTCAATCTGTTTTTTAAGTGATTTATAGTTCTTCTTGTAGAGGTCATTTACATCCTTTGTTTATTCCTATGTATTGATTTTTTTTTTGAGGCTATTGTAAATGGAATTGTTTTCATATATTCTTTCTCAATTTATTCTTGTTGGTGTAGTGAAAGGCTACTGATTTTTGGAAGGTGATTTTGTACCCTGCTACATTGCTGAAGCTGTTTATGGTGTCTAGGAGTTTTTTGGGTCTTTGAGGTACAAGCCCGTATCGTCTGCAAATAGAGATACATTGACTACTTCATTACCTATTTGTATTCCTTTTATTTCTTCTTCTTGCCTTATTGCTCTGGCTAGGAATTCCAGGACTATGTTGAATAGGAGTCAAGAGAGTGTGCATCCTTGTCTTATTTCTAACTGTATGGGAAATGGTTTCAATTTTTCCCCATTAAGTATGATGTTGGCTACAGGTTTGTCATATATAGCCTTTATAATGTTGAAGTACATTCCTTTATTCCTCATTTTCATAGAGCTTTTACCATGAAGTGGAGTTAAGTCTTATCAAAGGCTTTTTCTACATCTATTGAGATGATCACATGGTTTTTGTCTTTGCTTCTATTAATGTGTTGTATTACATTTATTGATTTGCATAGGGCGAACTATCCCTGCATCCCTGGGATGAAGCCAACTTGGTCATGGTGAATGATTTTTCTTATGTGTTGTTGGACTCAGTTTGCCACTAGTTTATTGCAGATTTTTGCATCGATGTTTATTGAGGAGATTGGCCTATAGTTCTCCTTTTTGGATGTGTCCCTGTCTGGTTTTGGGATGAGTGTAATGCTGGCTTTAGAGAATGAATTAGGCAGTGTTCCTTCCCTTTCTACTTCAGGGAAAAGTTTAAGGAGTACTGATATTAGTTCTTCTTTGAAGGTCCAGTAGAATTCAGCAGAGAATCTGTCAGGTCCTGAACTTTTCTTTTTTGGGAAAATCTTGATTGCTGCTTCAGTTTCATTGTTACAGATCTGTTTAGGTGGTTAATATTCTGATATCTGAGTTTACTAATTTGGGTCTTTTCCCTCCTCATTTTAGTCAGATTTTCCAGGGGCTTGTCAATAGGTTTATTTTTTCAAGGAACCAGCTTTTTGTTTCATTAATTCTTTGTATGGTGTTTTTGGTCTCTATATCATTAATTTCAGCCCTTGTTTTTATTATTTCTCTCTGCTTGTTTTGGGTTTTGCTTATTCTCGTTTTCCTAGGAGTTTGAGATTTAGCATTAGGTTGTTTATTTGAGATCTTTCTGTCCTTTTAATATATGCACTCATGGCTATAAACTTTTCCTCTTAGGACTGCCTTTGCTATGTCCCATAAGTTCTGGTAGGTGGTGTTTTCATTTTTATTAACTTCCAGGAATCTTTTGATTTCCTCTCTTCTTTCTTCTATGACCCCCTGGTCATTAACTAATGTGTTATTCAGCCTCCAATTATTTGTATATTTTCTGCTGTTTTTGCTGTTGAGTTTTAGTTTTATTGCATGCATTGTGATCAGATAGAATGCAGGGGGTTATTTCTATTTTCTCATAGTTGCTGGGGCTTGATTTGTGCCCTATTATATGATCTATTTTGGAGATAGTTCCATGGGCTGCTGAGTAGAATGTATATTGTGCTGTTGTCAGATAAAATATTCCATAGACATCAGTTAGGTCCATTTGATTTTAATGTCATTTAGTTCTAGGATTCCTTTGTTGCTTTTTGTTTGGATGACCTATCTATTGGTGATAGAGGGATATTAAAGTCTCCCACTACCACTGTGTTGTAGTCTATATGTGCTTTTAAGTCCTTTAGTGTATGTTTGATGAAATTGGGTGCAATGACATTGGGTGCATATGGGTAGATAATTATTATATCCTTTTGATGTACTGCACCTTTTATTAGTATGAAGTGTTCTTCTTTGTCTAGTTTGACCAATGTAAGTTTGAAGTCTACTTTGTCTGATATAAGTATTGCTACACCTGCCTGTTTTTGGATGGTCATTGGCTTGGTAGATCTTCTTCCAGCCTTTCACCCTAAGCCAGTATTTATTTCTGTTAATAAGATGGGTCTCTTGTAAACAACAGATTATCAGATATTGCTTTTTAATCCAGTCTGCCAAACAGTGTTTTTGATGGGGCAGTTGAGTCCATTGACATTCAGTGCTGATATTGATAGGTATGTGGTGATTCCTGCCATTTAGTTGTTTTTTTTTTTATTTAAGGATTTCATTGGGTATAGCTGAATCAATGCTACTCTCTTATTATCTTTTCCTCCCCTGTGGTTTTATACTTCCTGTCTGCTCATGGTTTTCTTTGCTTTCATCTTCTGTGTGCAGAATTCCTTGTAGAATCTTCTGTACTGGTGGCTTGCTGGTCATAAAACTGTTTTAGTTTCTGTTTATCATGGAAGATTTTTATTGCTTTATCAATTCTGAATTATAGTTTTTCTGGGTAGAGTATTCTAGGGCAGAAATTATTTTCATTCAGTGCACAAAATACCTCACTGCATGCCCTTCTTGCTTTTAAGGTTGATTCAGTGCCCAAATACCTCACTCCATGCCCTTCTTGTTTTTAAGGTTTCCATTGAAAAATCTGCTGTTATTTTTATGGGTTTACCTTTATACATACTGATTTGTTTTCTCTCTTACAGCTTTCAATATTCTTTTTCTGTTCTCTGTGCTTGTTCTTTTCATGATAATATGCTGTGGAGAGGCTCTGTTTGGTCAAGTCTGTTTGGTGTCATAGAGGCTTCCAGTATCTGAATGGGCAAAACTTTATCAAGACTTGGGAAATTTTCTG